TTAACCATAACTTTTGATAGCCAGGTGCTGAGATAGCTGGTGAAAGACTGTGTCCTCCATGATGAAGAAGGGTTGGCCATCTACCGCAATCATCTCACTGATGAAGTGAGTTAATGCTTCCTGGGCTCTCCATGTACCCTTAGTGGGACTGACCTTTTAGAGGGTGGCCTTCCTTGATATCCCACCCATAGGTTGTACACATGCGCTGAGAAAACCGGCAGCTTGCCCTACCCCTCCTTAGAATTATTATCTTAAAAGCTCGAAAAGAATGTAATTGGTCTGCCTTCAAGGATAACTAAAAGAAGAAATTGATGTATGAACTTCTGGAGAACACAGGAATTCCTCTTTGAGATTTCAGAGGGTAAGATAGCAATTATTTATTATTATTGTAAGGAGCCAACGCCCAGGCCAAACTCACAGCTCTTATTAGACTCACTGGACGATAGTGAGAGTAATGGCCAAGACTATAAAAGAACTTTCTGAGCAACTGTCTGCATTCCAAAATATTGTGACAACTTCTCAGGAACCGATAAAAGCTGAAATTAGGACAGTAAAAGAGGCCGTTACAGAGTTGGCAGCCGAGCTTAAAGAAACAAAGCAGACGGCAAACGCTGTTAATGAGCTGGCTACAAAAAACAAACAGAAGATAGAACAGCTAACTAGCCAGCTTACTGACCTATCAGACCGGAACAGAAGAGCAAACCTCATCTTTGTAGGGATTTAGGAAGAGATAAACAATAAGCTTCTAGAAGGAAGAGCCCCACAAGACATTATTAGGAAGAACTTCTTGACAGAGCAGTTCCTCCGTAGAACAGGCTTCCTCGGGGAGTGGTGGATTCTCCTCCTTTGGAGGTTTTCGAACAGATGCTAGATGGCCATCTGACGGTAGTGCTGATTCTGTGAACTTAGGCAGATCATAGGAGGGAGGGCAGGAAGGGTTGCCTCAGTGCTTAGTTCTTGTGGCCCTTTCTTACATGCCCAGGGAAATGCTGATCAGAACTTTGGGGTCAGGAAGCAATTTTTCACCAGGCCAGTTTGACTGGAGATCCTGGAGGTTTTTGCCATCTTCTGGGCAATCAGACTTGCCTTCAGGCTTGCCCATGAAAGGAAAAAAAAAACCTTTATTTCCGGGGGGGGGGAGAGTGTGGTCATGGAAGACGAAGAGAGCCAAGCACAAAGGCAAAGGATGACCCCTGAGTGGATGGAAAAAGCAATGAGCACTCTGATGCCTTCTGAAAATGCAAGGAAGTAAAAGGCTGGGGCAATTTTTTCCTCAGGGAAGAGAAATGGAAAGGTACCAGTTGCTGCAAGCACATCAGAAGAGCAATGACAGCACTTATGCCTTCCTATGGCGATATAGATATGTTATCACATAGAGGTATGTTCCTCTTGTTCATTCTGCACTGTATTATGAGGCTTATCACGTATGAGAAATACATGAAACAAAGACTGTGGGAAGGGTTCCGAGTTTTCGGTCCTCAAGGTGACAAACATAACCAAGGATGAGTATATGTTATGTTAAGTGTACAGACAGTATATTTGGTGTAAGTAGGGTTGCCAGCTCTGAGTCGAGAAATTCCTGGAGATTTGGGGGGGTGTGGAGCCTTGGGAGGATGGCGTTTGGTAAAGGGAGGGACCTCAGCAGGATATTATTTATTTATTTATTTATTTCATTTTATATACCGCTCACCCCCTGCGAGCTCCGAGCGGTTTACATATTTCATTAATGTCAATCCTAACCTAGGGCCACATACATACATACAAGGGGAGAGTGACTAGCCTACCCAGGCACCCTGTAGCACGTCGTTTGTTGTCTGTGGGAGCTCGTTCGACGACGTCCTCCTGGTGCTGGTCTTTGATCTTTGCGACTTCCTGGCCTTTGCGACTTCTTCGGGCTTGGACCGAGCACACGTCCGTGCATGCACGCTGCGGCCTCTGTCCAGTAGGCTCAGGCCTGCTGCATCACCCCGCCTCCATGATTTGCCGGCCCAGCCTCCTCTCACTCGCATCGCCTCGCCAGCCACCACCATGTTTTCTCCGCCGCCGCCACTCCACTGCCGCCGCTCACCGCTACACCACAAGGGACGGGTGCCCCCCCACTCTAAGAGCAGGTACCCATTTGTCTAGTTGCCCTTTAACGGGCTTTCGAGATGCTGGGTGGGCGGGAGCTGGGACAAAGGGCCGGGAGCTCACTCCGGAGATTGCCAGAGATTCTATGTTCCAAAGGTGGCATTTTCTCCGAGGGAACTGATTTCTCCAGTCTGGGAATGAATGGTAATTGCAGGAGATCTCCATAACCCACCTAAAGGTTGACAACCCAGGGTTTAAGATAGTCAAGCTGAGAACTTCTCCATGGCTGCAGTCACATGAGCAGTTCATGCTGATATAGCTGTGTTACCTTTGTGGATTTAAAGAGCACGATCAGACATGCCCCATGTCGTTTGCCCCCTGTTTTGCCTCACTTTGGAAGCAGAGTAACCAGGCACCAGGGGAAGTCTAGTATTAAGGGATACCAGCGCTTCCACTCCTCATTTGCAGTTATCTGAACTCCCCTCTTGCGAAGTCAAGCTGTTGGGGAACTCTGAAACTTCCCTTCCATTTCCATCTCCTTTTTTTTTTTTGATCAGGGAGTGATGTTCGCATAACTGCATAATCGCCCCTGGCATTGGCAATCACCTTAGCCAAGTAGTCGTTCTGGACTGGGAGTCCCTGGTGGAGTTATTTTTGAGTGAAAAAAAATCTCCCCCCAAACCCTTCTCCTGTTTCTGCATCAGAGTCTGAGAGCATCCCATGATGGACATAATGGTAAATGCACTGAAGTCAATGGGTCTACTCTCATGTAAATCTGCACTCCTCCCTGTACTCCACGGAAGAGATGTGAAGGGAAGGAGGCTGAGAGGGGCTGGAGTACTTGGCAGGAGTTTGTGCAACTGTCAAAAAGGAGCTGGAGCTTTGGATACACAGTTACACGCATGGGTGAAAGACACACACACACAAAAGAATGTCGCAACAATCTGAACAATGGGCCACGGGGCAAGCGCACAATGAAACCGGTTCAGGGTATGATGTCTGATCAAAACTTCCTGCAGCTATTTAAACCACTGCAAATAGCGGGGCAGCCATATTGCACCAGTGTGGCTGCAGCCCATGAATACAGTCACCAGCTCCATGGGTATACGTGAGCTGAACCTCAGGCCAGTTTGTCCCAACATTGTAGTTCATTGCCCTACTCTTGCATTCTCTTTTTCTGGCCAGCCAATTGGAAAGACATGTACTGAGTATTTTCCTCTACTGAACAAGTAGATGCTGTCTTCTGGAGCTGAACAACACAAAATGCAAGACCCCCGGTAAATGAAGTTCCATTTGGATTTTGAAGGGTTTCCATTTTTTGAATCCGGTAGTGTTCTCATTTGCCCACTTATGGTTGGACAGCTCCCACCAATTGCACCCATCTCCCATTGATGCTCAGCTGATTGGTGGGTGGAAAGTGAGGGCCCAGGGGCCAAAGGTCCTGAGATTTTTTTAAAAAATCAGGCTTTGTCTTACCATAGAGTTTCTAGTTATTACAAGAGCTACCCTTGCCACCACAATCGGAATGAAGAGACAGACACCGATACGGATTTAACAAGGGCCACTTTATTAATTAATTATAATCAAACAACTGGCAAGGGGCTACTAAAATGTATTGGGGAATATGACCAGTGTCAAACTCATGACCACCTTCATCTCCTTCTGGACGATGCACCTTCCCTGATCTTGAGCCACCCAATGTAGCTCTCGACCAGTGGCTTGGCATACTTAGGAGAACCCCCTGGCCCACCACCCCATAAGCCGCAAGGCCTGCTGAGATGGGCCGGCCAGATTGTTCTAAGGAAGATCACCCCTTCCTGGTCTTGAGCCGCAAAGGCCCAAAAGCCGTTCTTGGAGGACCCTTTAATTCACTTATAATAGTGCCCAGGTGTTCACCGTTTTCAACTTCCTGATCGCGCTACCCTGCCATTGCAAAGGCCAAGCCTCTGCTTAGGCCGAACTGCTGAGGCAGAGGGCGGGAGCCGAGGCTAAATAGGCTGACTCTGCCCCCTGCCTGCCACTGCGCTACTCGCAGTGCCAGTGCGCTTGTTTTCCTGCCTCACGAGGAGGCAAATCAGCTCCCTCCCGCCAGTGTAGGCTCGGCAGGAGTTAGGGCTCGCATTGTCACTTCTAGGTAGTTCTAGGAATCACTGGTAACTCTACGGTCAGAATTTACAGTAAGTAGCCAAGGCTTCTAGTAACCACTGGGAACTCTGCGGTCAGAATTTACAGTAAGTAGCCAAGGCCTTGTTTTTCGTTTTCTTCCTCCAGGAACTTTGCCTTCCCCAGCACCCCTGCCAGTTGTCTTGCACTGCCTGGCAGCCCTAGAAACAAACCTAATGTGTACTATAGAAGGTTTTATGCCATGTCTACATTCACTTCTTAAGGTCTAGTTTTCCTGGGCCCCGGTCACACGAGCAGGAAACCGGCTAATTTGCAATACAGAAGGTTAAATTCCATCTCTAGAAATTCATATGTTAAGGCCTCGTTGTCTTTATGGCTTTTCTTGTTCTTTACTACAATTCTGAGTAAGCCCAGAACAGACGTCTGCTAAGATGTAGTCAACATATTTTCTTTGGTAAAGTTGCAGAAAATCTATTCATCTGAGTAGGTAAATTACCTTCCCTATAATCATTAAACTCATCATCATTACTTCCTTTTTCTTCTTCTTCCATCCCTTGGGATTCCCAGTGATAGCAGGGAAGAGAAAAAAGCGCTCAAAGACGGTATTGCTGTTCCCTCTGTCATCCACAGCTGCAAAGAGAGACAGACCAGGGTTGTCTGTTCACTGATACTTTACACTGCACCATCCTGGCTTTGAATGAGTCTAGTGAGTGTGCCTTCCATCTCAAGATGTTCTACAGAGGAATTCTTGAAGGATAATATGAGAACACATGAATTGGTGTCTACAAGAAAGATTTTCATGGACGATGGTGCTATTTGTTGCTTCTGTGTTAGTGTTGCTGGTTCAGGTGGTGTGCAAATCTCCGTCTGTTCAACGCCCCACCAGTCAACCACTTCCTATCGTTCACAAATATTATCAATCAGGAGACCTTCTCATTGCTGGCATTGTTTCTCATTTGTTTAAGTTTTCTGATGCTGTCAAATTTGAAGAGTGTCCCTCTCCCAGTGCCTCTGATTCTCTTGTGTAAGAAGGAATTTTTTTTCATAGTATAGCTTTATCATGTTATTTGTATTGTAATGGAAGGTTTAATGTGTGCTAGGATATTCATGGACTCCCTCCCAATGAATCTTCATCATAAACTGCATGGGTTCCATTAGAAAACAAATGGTATCTCCTGCATTTTGATGCATTTTGATGCTCACATGAAAAAGAACAACAAACATTTCTAGAATTGTGGGTTGAATAGTAAATTTTTCTGTGGCATTACCAGTGGAACCTTTTCCCTGACTCAAGGATCTGTCCACCTGCAGAATACATTTTCACTGGATGAACCTCCATTGATTGTTTAACAGAACCAGAGCTTGGGTAGGGCCATGGCTCAGTGGTGGAGCATTGGCTTGGAATGCAGAAGGTTCAATCCCTGGCAACTCCAGTTGAAGAATCCAGAGGTAGGAGATGTGAAATACCTCTGCCAGAGACCTTGAAGAGCTGCTGCTGATTTGAGTAGACAATGCTAATTTTGATTGACCAAGGGCCTGATTCAGTAGAAGACACTTCACATGTCCCTGTTTCTCAAATAAAAGCTTCCTAAATTGTATAGTAGGAGCTGCGGTGGCTCAAGTGGTTAAGACGCTGAACTGCAGGCTGTGGAAGGTCGATAGTTCAGCAGTTTGAGACCCGAGTTGCCGCATGACGGAGTGAGCTCCCGTCTCTAGTTCCAGCTCCTGCCAGCCTAGCAGTTCGAAAGCAAGACATTGCTAATAGATAAATAGATACCACTTTGGTGGGAAGGTAATAGCGTTCTGTGCACCTTGGTGTTTAGTCATGCCGGCCACATGACCACGGAAATGTCCTTGGACAGCGCTGGCTCTTCGGCTTTGAAACGGAGATGAGCACCGCAACCCTAGAGTCGGACTCGACTGGCTTTCAAGCAAGGGAACCTTTACCTTTTAAATTGTATAGTACCAGTCTCTCAATTTTAACGCCCATCACAAATATTTCTGTAGCATATTGAGCGGAAGAGAGATTATACCCCCCACCACACACACCGGAATAAGACTGCAATAAACATTTGAAACTCTAATTGCCAATGAGCATGTTTTCTATCAAATAGGTTTCCAAGCCATTCCACTGTCAAACTAATATTCTAAGATGTCAGAAGCCATCTGTGAGAGCCCTCATAGTTACCAGGCCTCAGAGTTATAGAATTTGTTTCCCTTCAGTTTATTTAGTAAAGTGATGTTGCACTGAAATGCATTCAATGTAATCTTCCAAAGTGAACTTGCTGTGATGCAGCTTATCACTCTCATTGCAGAGTATTCACTCAGCTTTACCAGAACCTCCTGGCTTTGGTGTTTGCTGTCAAGGAGATCAATGAAAACCCTCAGCTCTTACCCAATGTCACTCTGGGTATCCACACCTATAATAACTATATTAGCCGAAGCTATACCTATCACGCTGCAATGGAACTTCTCTCCACTAAGGGAAGGTTCATTCCTAACTACAAGTGTGACAACCAGAACAACTTGGTAGCAGTTTTGGGGGGACCAAAGTCCAATGTCTGTCTCTACATGGCACACATTCTGTGCATTTACAAGACTCCGCAGGTAAAATGGCCTCCTGGGTCATGGCATGTTAACAACAAATTCACAGTGCCTTTTCTTTCAGGAGTGGTTTTCCATTAAAGCTTTCTGAGATTCTCATAACCTCATTGAAATTTTTACGATGTGTTAAGTATTGTTAGACCTTCAAAGCAACGAATCCTTTAAAGGCAGATAGAGTTGCTAGTTAAGGGAAACTGTGCTGTGCTTCTTGCCCTGATCTGGGTGACTCAGGCTAGTCAGATCTTAGAAGCAAAGAAGGTTTGGCCCCAGTTTGTACTTGGATGGGAGATGACTAGGAAATCCAGGGTTACTACACAGAGGCAGACAGTGTCAAACCACCTCTCTGTTTCTCTCTCGCCTTGGAAATGCTATGGGGTCACCCCAAGTTGGCTACAACTTGATGGCACTTTTCCACCACCACCACGAGCACTTCTAGATTTCTTTCCCCTTATTTCATATTTCTTTATATGCATAACTTTGTTTGTGAGAAACTGCTCAGTCTTCATATTTGTCTTTATCTTATCTGGGGGGGAAATTCCATTGGGGGAAGAAAAGAAATACAAGATTGAATGTTCTATATAATATATAATAATATATAATATACTTTATTGTCATTGTACATAGTACAACGAAATTAAGGTGCAATCATTCGGTGATCTACAAGCATACTCATATACACTCACACAACCATACTCATATACACTCACACAACCATTAGGGTTCACATTGCAACTTAACCACCAATGTCAACAAAACCACCAAATGTTCTGATGTTCTGGTTCTCAGATAACATTGTTCCTAATCTCTTACAGCGTAATAAGCTGTTTTGAACTGAGCAGTGTTTCCAAGGATCGGTGTGGGTATGTGTCCACTCTTCAGAGTAAGAGAGCCCAGATTCAAGTGGACTTGACTAAGCCACAAGGTTTCATCTAAGAGTGTTTCTAGACATTCATTGCTTGAGAATGGAGACCACAGAGCTTTCCTTCTCCGCTGTTTTGGGCCAGACGCAAAACCTTCTACTGAGAATTATGCTGACTAGATGCCAGTTCTTCCTGTTCCCACCGGAAACTAGTTGTTCAGGGTCCAGATACAATTATGATAACATTATCAATATGTGTTCTAATTCCTTAGGAAAGCCATTTTTTCTTGGCTTCTCAACTGTAAACTGGAGATATGGATCTCCTTACATTACCTTTGTAAGGGTTACTGTGATATGTGAAAAGTTCTGAACACTTAATTTATTTTTATTTCCTTCAATTTATATACCACTCACCCCCTGAGGGCTCTGAGCAGTTTACATGTTCAGTAATACCAATCCTTACCTAGGGCCACATACATACAATGCGGAGAGTGACTAGCCTAACAGGCACCCTCTAGCGAGTCTTCGTGTTGTTATCTGCGGGAGATCTTTTTCCTGGTCCGGCGATGACGTCCTTCTGGCGCAGGTCTTCCTTTGGTCGTTGCGATTCCTTTGGGTCTGGGCCAAGCGCACGTCCGCGTGTACTCGCTGCCGGCCTCTGTCCGATAGGCTAGATTATGTACATGCTACCTACATTCCATTGTCATAGGCAATTTATGGTGATCCCAGCAAAGGCCTTTCAAGGCATGTGAGAAGCAGAGAGAGTTTGCCAGTGATTTCATCTGCAGAGTCATCCTTGGTGGTCTCCCATCCAAATACTGACCCTGCTTAGCTTCTGAGACCTGATGAGATTGGGCTATATGAAGCTGTCTTCCATCCTTATTTTCACGCTAAGGATTATTAATAAAAAATACTAAGGTGTATAGGCAAATGGTGCGTTCTGGATATTGGTAGGAAGCGTTAAAAATTGTCCATGTATATCATATGAAGCTGCCCTGAGCCTACTTTGAAAAGGAGGGCAGGGTATAAATCAAATAAATAAATAAATTCTTAACACTAGCATCAACCTGGGGATTATTTTATTTTTGAAATAGCACTCCACTGTCCCCTTTATTTCCTTTAGCTCCTCTATGGCTCTGCTCCAGTTTTGAACAACAAAAAAGAAGCCATTTTCCTCTACAAGATGTTCCCCAGTTGGGCCAATGAGAACATTGGGATTATGAAATTACTGCTGTATTTCAGATGGATATGGGTTGGGGTGATCTACGTGGATAATGAACATGGCCAGCAATTTGCACAGAAGGTGCTTCCTGTCTTTTCTGAGCGTGGTGTCTGCTTTGATTTCGTAACAAATTTTCCAGCAGTGACTTTCTCTAGTTATTTTCCTGAAATGGTAGAAGGAAACAATGACTTAACAAAACTTGTCATGGGAAGCACAGCCAAAGCAGTGGTGGTACATGGTGAAATTCAAACCATAATAGTTTTGCGAATCATGCTGAGGGTCGCAGAATTTAAAGAGATACCCATGAGGACAAAAGCCAAAGTCTGGATTCTGACAGCACAGATGGATTTCACATCAACTGAACTTCAAAGAAGCTGGGACTTAGACTTCATCCATGGTGCTTTATCCTTTGCCATTCATTCTAGGGAAGTCGTAGGATTTGGGCAGTTTCTTCGGGAAAGAGACCCTGCCTCTGAAAAAGAAGATGGCTTTATTGGGGACTTCTGGAAACAGGCTTTTGGTTGTTCACTCCCCAGTATCACAAAAGCCATAACCGATGAACCAGTCTGCACTGGGGAGGAGAAGCTGGAGAGTCTTCCTGGGTCTGTCTTTGAAATGAGCATGACCGGCCACAGCTACAGCATCTACACAGCTGTCTATGTGGTGGCACATGCAGTACATGCCATGTATTCGTCCATGCTCAAACACAGAGCACTGGCAGATGGAGGGAGAAATCAGCTGCTGAGACAACAGCGATGGCAGGTAATGCTTAGGAGAGAATTACTAAATGCAGGGGTGCTCACCAGAATTGGTTAGATAGTCAGATGAACAAGAGACCCCAGATTCTAAAATGCACCTATGGCTCAAAAGCAGATGTTCTAGTACTTAAAAATCTATTACTCAACGTTTCAGTGCTGACATTTCACATTTCGGGAAGGAACAGGATTACATTTACTGTTTATTAACTCCAGCAAAGGTTGAGATCCTGTGGCATGTACTAGTTCAAGTGGGGGACTCTGATCTGGGAGACACAGGTTTGCAGCCCCACTCTCGTATGGAAGCTTGCTTGGTGACTTTGGGGCAGTCCCTTTCTCAGCCTAACCCGCCTCACAGGATTATGGTGAGCAGTGTTCCCTCTAAGCTGAGTTAGTGTGAGCTAGCTCACAGTTTTTTAGCCTCCGGCTCACACATTTTTGTCCTAGCTCACGAAGGAGGGCTCCACCCCCCATCCATAGGCCAATTGGCCTGACTCCCGCATGCGGGAGAAGGGGCCCCAGGCCATTAGAGCCAAAGCTGGGAATCGAAAGAGATCCCACGGTTACATGATGCCCAGACACTACAATCCACAAGGTCAGTGATAATGAAGGACTACAGAAGCAAAGAAGGAATGCAGCAGCGGCTGGTACACAGGTCAAGCAAATGAACCCCAGTCCATAAACATCATGGCAGCATAGCTGACAGGCAGCCACTCACTCTCAGCATAAACCACCTCACAGGGTTGTTGTGAGGGGGAAATTGTTCCATCAGGGTCCGTATCATCTACTCAGAACAGCAGTGGCTCTCCAGGTTCTCAGGCAGAAGACTTTCTCATCACCTCCTACCAGATCTTTTTAACTGAAAGTGCTGGGGATTGAACCTGAGACCCTCTACATTCCAAGTAGATGCTCCACCACTGAGAAATCTCATTTCCTTCCACTTCCTAACCTATCCTTTCCCAACCATCACTCACCATTCCCTCCACCAGCATTCCCTCTCTTCCTTTGAAACCCGAACTTTTCAGAAATCATGTACTACCTCATTTGGCCAGTTTCTATATAAGTTCCACAACAGGTCTTAATGGACACAGTTAAAATACTTTTCTTTTTTTTATAACAAATCTAGTTCCATGAATTTTTGAAACGAGTCTCATTCAACAGTAGTGCTGGGGACCTGGTTTCCTTTGATGAAAATGTGGAGATAGCAGTTGGATTTGATATCATCAACTGGGTCACGTTTCCTAACAAGTCCTTTCTTAGAGCTAAAGTTGGAAGGATGGACCCCAAAGCTCCCAAAGACAAAGTGTTCACCATTCATGAAGATGGAATCATTTGGCCGCACATGTTTAACCAGGTGGGCTCTGTATGCTTTTCAGGGTATATCATTTTATGGAATATCATTTTAGTTTCCGGGTTTTCCTTTCATGGTTTCTAGTTCAAATTCTGGAGCAGTTCTGCCTTGGTGTTCTGCCAATAAGATAAGTCGCATCCCGTTCTGATAATATTTTTCAATTTGAAATCATAACATTGCGCTATTTTGAACATATATTGCCTTAAACTATTTACTTATTGTATGTAAATGGTTATTTTCCTGGGAGTAAGTCATACTGCAAACAGTGGGACTTAATTTTAACTTAAGTAAGTAGGATTTGTAAGCCTCATGGTGCCCTGATCTTGTTGGTCCATGCTAGCCCAATGTCATCAGCTCTTGGGAGCTAAGTGGAGTCAGTCCCTGGTTATTCCTTGTTTGAAAGACCACCAAAGAAGTCTAGAGTTGCTACTCAGAGACAGGCAATAGCAAATCACCCGTGAACATGTAGTGTCTTGACAACCTTACAGGATCTCCATAGGTAAGTTGTGACTTGATGGCACTTTCCACCTTGTGGTGGCAGTTATGTTCCGTTGAGAATGCTATAATATATGGAACTCTGTCTTCTACTGAAAGTTATTGAACTATCCCATTGCATATCAACTGGTCTCCAAAAGACAGGCTGTCACACCATGCTGGTGGCAACCTGATACTTACATGCATGATTGACCAGTGAAAGGCAAAGTCCTGAAAAAAATATTTTTTTAAAAAAAACACATTTCCCTCTTTCATTTATGGAAAGGTGCAGCCCCTTTCTCTGTGCAATGACCGATGCCTTTCAGGCTACAGTAAGAGAAAGAAGGAAGAGAAGCCGTTTTGCTGCTATGATTGCCTTCCATGTCCAGAAGGGAAGATTTCAAACCTGGAGGGTAAGGATGGGATTCACCAAGCTTATTCAATATTCTTTTTACTTCTCCTAACACCAGATCTGAATCAACAGTTTTAATGCTGGATTTTTTGGGGAGGCCCTCGAATGAAACATGACACAGGTTTATGGGTTAAACAGGGAAGCAACAGCACAACTCAGATAACACGTGAAAGCACAGGTTGGGTCCGGCTTGCAAGGCAGGTGCTTTCTAACAGGGCAAAACCACCCCACCTCAGAGCCAGGTCTGGAATCCTTCTGAACCATTCTCCTCTTGGTCTGCATGGTAGTGCGTAGAGGGAATGGAGGGGCATAGTCCCACCCATGACTGCTATGTCTTCCCATTGTATGTCCTCTCCAACCTTGAAGGGGCCCTCACTGAGTCACCCAGATTGCCAAGCTGATAGGGGACCAGTTTGAGGGACCCCCATCCCCACAATATCTTGGGGTTCTTATCAACTTTAAATCCTTTCAACCCGTGCTTTTCTCACCTTCCCAGTTAGGACGTAACCAGCTTTACCAGGCCTATTTAAACCTCACCCCTTCCAGCCATGTGGAGCAGGCAAAAAAGGCCCCTCGGTCGGCCGATTTGAGAGAGGGCCCCCAAAATCCCAGCTAAGCCCTGAAACCAGTGACTAGAAAATCCTATATGGTCTCTGAAGCGGGAGGAAGGGAAGGTGGGGAGCTTGCGCAGCACTGAAGTATGGAGGGAGGCGGCTGATGCCAAGCCTGGCCACTGTGCCAGGCTCCCCATTGGCTGGCATACCCGTGTTGAGCCTTAATTGGCTCACCCCACCCTTGTGGATCATCCTGTGGAGGTGGGGGTGGGCACACACCAGTTCACACTGCACTTATCAGGCACCAGTCTTCTGATAGTTAAAGCTTTCAATCTTTATTGCTTTTTTAATTTTAGGTTTAGAAGAGTGTAGCTGCAGAATAATTTTTGTTTGTATTACAATGAGCAGATTAGCTATGAGACCTGATTTCCTTTTTGTTTCCAGTAGGGGTGGGGGTTGCAGATCTGATATAACCAGCTGTTAGAACCTCTGGTGTAAGTGTGATTTTGTGTGCTGCATATGTAATCGAACAGATGATTGGATGGAAATGAATAAAATTATGAAATGCTTGGATAAGATGGAAGACATGTTCAATTATGAGGTTTAGTTTACCAAGGACAGAAGTCTTATATGAACTGTGTTGTTCCTGTATCATTCATTAGCATGGCTTAAGAAAACTGAACTCACATAATTGTATGAGTGTTTCCCTGGAGCAGATGATGCTGAGGAACAGAGTAATGGCAATAGAGCTGTTACGCCATCTTGTGAAATAACATCCAGAGCACTTTATTTATTAATTAACTGTTTATAATGTTATCTATACTGTGATGATTTTAAATGATTTTACATATGTTTTATATTGGCGTATGCCCTTGTAAGCCACCCTGAGCCCATGTAGCGGGGAGGGCAGGGTATAAATTGAATAAAATAAATAAATAAATAATAAATTCATGCAAAGTTGAGGTCTCCATTTAGCAGCCCTACACACCCCATAGTAATACAGATTAACGCAGGACACTGCATGAAGGTCTTAAATGTGTCTATATCCACATTTATTTTTCAGATACCAGTGACTGTTTTCGATGCCCAGAAGATCAATATCCAAATACTAATCAGGACTTATGCCTGCAAAAACGTATAAGTTTCCTGTCTTATGAAGAACCTTTGGGGATCAGTTTGGCCAGTTCTGCACTTTCCTTCTCTTTTATGACAGCTTCGGTGCTCGGTATCTTCATTAAAAACCAGGACACTCCCATAGTCAAAGCCAACAACCGGAATCTCTCCTACATTCTCCTCGTCTCCCTCCTGCTCTCCTTCCTTTGTGCATTGCTTTTCATTGGCCGACCTGAGAAGGTGTCATGTCTCCTTAGACAAATTACTTTTGGCATAATCTTCTCAGTTGCTGTTTCTTGTGTGCTGGCCAAGACCATCATTGTGGTTCTAGCTTTCATAGCCACCAAACCAGTGTCCAGGATAAGAAACTGGGTGGGGAAACAACTGGCCTACTCCATTGTTCTTTCTTGCTCTTTTATTCAAACCACTATTTGTACAGTTTGGTTAATAACTTCTCCTCCATTCCCAGATTTTGACAAGCACTCAATGACTGAAGAAATGATTCTGAAGTGTAACGAAGGGTCAGTGGCCATGTTTTACTGTGTCTTGGGCTACCTGGGCTTCCTGGCCACTGTGAGCTTCACTGTCGCTTTCTTAGGCAGGAAGTTACCTGATAGTTTTAACGAAGCCAAATTCATCACCTTCAGTATGCTGGTCTTTTGCAATGTTTGGTTGACCTTTGTCCCTACCTATTTGAGCACGAAGGGAAAATACACGGTGGCCGTGGAGATCTTCTCTATCTTAGCTTCCAGTGCGGGGTTGCTGGGTTGCATATTTTTTCCTAAATTTTATATTATTGTTGTGAGGCCTGAACTTAACATCAAGGGTCAAATTACAAAAAGGCTGAATGAAAGAATTTAAAAGTCCACAACAGTACTCTAAATTCAGACTTACTAAATGAAAATGAATAAATATGACACAAATACTTTAACCCTTTGTTTTCATTAGGTTGTAATAATGTGGAAATCTAGCTGAACTGAGATGAGTGTGTTCTACTGTGCTATTTCTGTCCTTGGTCAAGTGTCAGCAGTGAAGCACAATGGAGAAAGGGCAGCAGAAAGGCAGGGTTCTGCCACCCTGCACCTCTAGCTGCAGACCTCTTCTTCCCAGCTACTATTTGTTACCAGTGAGCCCAAAGGGCAGTCTTCCATCTTGCCTCAGTTAGGACCACCCAAAATTACTTTTGACCTGATATGCTTCTGACCCTGCGAGACTGGCCTTCTGGTAGAATTTCTGAGGGAATTTCCCCCCACCATCCTAAGGGGGAGATGGCTAACATCTCTTGAATAAATTCTGTTTTTATTTCAATCTGCTTGTGAGGGTTAAAAAAACAGTATTAGAAGGCCTGTGGGTTCATTTTGTAATTTTGTTTTCCTTTATTATTCCTCCCTAGTTATTTTCACTGAAAGACTGAGATCACTGCTACTTTCTCCTCTTTACCCTCTGCCCTCCACTGAGCAACCCAGGTTCCATAATTTCTTCCCTCAACATGGTGTCAGTAGTAGGCTTTGGGGTTACAATTATGTAATGCTCAGCCATTTTGGAAGCCTCTTTTGTGGGGTAGGTAGAAACATACAAACAAATACAAGTGAAAACTACGGACAAACCTTTGAAGTGAACCTATATTAAGATGTTTTATCTCTCCTGAAGTCACATCACACTTTCCATTGGAAAAAACAAAGACAAAATATACATGACAAATTGAAAAGTTTCCTTTTCCTAGGTCAATGACCATGATGATCTTGAATGTATTTTATAATACTTGCAGCATCATGCTTTTTTTTCTCTTGTTTTGTTTTCATGTGTGATTGTTGGATTTTCATTTTACGTATTTCCACTGCTGACGCTTCCAATTGGTTTTTTTCTTTTACTAGAATTATATCTTACAAGTGGAGACCCGCAAGAAACTTGCGGGATGGTTATTCCATTCCTCACACCTTTGCTTCCTTCCCTCTCCCCCTACCACTCTCACACTCTTTCTCCCTTCTGCACCCTCACTTTCTCTCTCTACTCCATGTATGTTACTTCCTCTCTCTGACCAGTCATCATTCTCTTTGTTTTTCTGCCTCCCCACCTCCTCACGCTTTCTTTCTTTTTCTGCCCCCCACTCCATCACTCTCTCCTTCTGCCCCCATTACTCTCCCAGCCTCCTGGCTGCTTCCTCCCCTCCCCAGCAGCAGTGGCAGTGTTCTGGGAATCACAACGGATCTCCCAGCTACAGAGATCAATTCACCTTAGGGCTGCCAGCTCCAAGTTGGGAAATCCCTGGAAATTTGAGGGAGCAACATGAAATGGAAGATCACTGGGTACTACTTCATGATAACCGGATTGCTATTGGGATTTTGAAGTGTTTCCATTCTAAGAAGCCAACAGGGTTCTCATTTGCCCTCTTATGGTGGGACAGCACCCACCACTTGTAGCCATTGCCTGCTGATGCTCAGCTGATCGGTGGGTGACTGAGGGGTGACATGATTGAGGTTTATAAGATTATGCATGGGAAAGAGCAGGTAGAGAAAGAGGTACTTTTCTCCCTTTCTCACAATACAAGAACTCGTGGGCACTCCATGAAACTGCTGAGCGGTCGGGTTAGAACGGATAAAAGGAAGTACTTCTTCACCCAAAGAGTGATTAACACAGGAAGTGGTGGCGGCTACAAGCATGGACAGCTTCAAAAGGGAATTAGATAAGCATATGGAGCAGAGGTCCATCAGTGGCTATTAGCCACAAGGTATAGATAGGGGCTCTCAGGCTGGGGAAGTGATGTTCTGTCTTCTTGGTTCTTGGGGGGGGGGTCAACAGTGGGAGGGCTTCTAGTGTCCTGGCTCCACTGCTGGACCTCCTGATGGCACCTGGTATTTTTGGCCCCTGTGTGACAGAGTGTTGGACTGGATGGGCCTTTGGCCTGATCCAACATTGGCGTCTCTTATGTTCTTATGGGTGGAAACTAAGGCCTAGGGGCCAAATGTCATGATGAGATTTTTTTTAAAAAAGGGCTTGGTCTTACCATTGAGTTTTTAGTTATTATGAGAGCTCACTTGTCACTTTCAGGTAGTTCTAGTAACTCACTGGGAACTCTATGGTCAAAATTGACAGTAAGCAGCCAAGGCCTTCTTTTTCTTTTTTTCCTCCAAGATCTCTGCGCACGCACACACACAGCCCACACCCCTGCCACTTGTCTTGCACTGCTTGGAAGTCCTAGAAAGAGACCTAATTTGTAGTAGAGAAAATTTTATGTAATCTCTAGAAATTCATATGTTAAGACCTAGTTAACTTGGTTGCTTTTCTCGTTGTTTACTACAAGTCGGAGTACCATTGAGGAAGGTCAGAATACATGCCTGCTAAGATGTAGTCAACATATTGTCTTCTGCAAAGTTGCAGATAATCTATTCATCTGAGTAGGTAAATTACCTTCTCTATAATCAGCAAATTCATCATCATTACTTCCTTTTTCTCTCCCCATCCCTTGGGAATTCCAGTGATAGCGAGGAAAAGAAAAAAGCACTCACAGACGGTATTTCTGTTCCCGCTGTCATCCACAGCTGGAAAGAGAGATAGAGCAGGGTTGTCTGTTCACTGATACTTTACACTGTACCATCCTGCCTTTGAATCTGTCTAATCCGTGTGCCTTCCATCTCAAGACGTGCTACTGAGGAATGCTTGAATAATAATATGAGAACAGATGAACTGCTGTCATGAGAAAGATTTTCATGGAAGATGGTGTTGCTTTTTGCTTCCATGTTAGTGTTGCTGGTGCAGGTGGTGTGCAAATCTCCACCTGTTCAATGCCCCTCCGGTCACCCTCTTCCTATTGTTCACAAATATTATCAATCAGGAGACCTTCTTATTGCTGGCATTGTTTCTCATGTGTTTAAGTATTCCGATATTGTAGACTTTAAAGCACATCCCTCTACTAATTTGTCTGTTTCATACGCGTAAGAAGGATTTTTTTTCCATAGTATTGGTTTATTATGTTATGTGTATTGTAATGGAAGGCTTACTGTGTGCTATGATATTTATGGTCTCCCTCCCAGTGAATCTTCATCTTAAACTGCATGGGTTCCATTAGAAAACAAATCGTATCTCCTCTGTTTTGATGCCCACATGCAAAAGAACAACAGCAAACCTTTGCAGAATTGTGGAACCTTCTCCCTTCTCCCTGACTCAAGGATTGTGGAAACTTCTTCCTTGTCCCTAATTCAAGGATCCATCCACCTGTAGAAAACTCTTTCACTGGATGAGGCTCCATTGTTAATTTAACAGAATTGGAGCTTGGGAAGGGCCATGGCTCACTAGTAGAGCATTTGCCTGGTATGCAGAAGGTTTGAGGTTTGATCACTGGCATCTCCAGTTGAGGAATCTGGCAGCAGGAGCTGTGAAAGACCTCTGCTAGAGATCCTGAAGAGCTGTTGCTGATTTGAGTAGGCAACACTAATTTCGATGGACCAGTGGTCTGATTCAGTAGAAGATACTTCACGTGTCCCTGTTTCTCAGATGTAAGCTTCCTAAATTGTATAGGAGCAGCCTCGGAATTTTGACACCCCTCATAAACATTTCTATAGCATATTGAAGACACACACCCAACACACATCAGAATGAGACTGCAATACACATTTGAAACTCTTATTGCCAATGAGAATGTGTGCTAAAAAATGGGTTTCCGAACCATTCTTAGGTTGAACTAATATTCTGAGAAGTCAGAAGTCAGCTGTGGGAGCCCTCATAGTTACCAGGCCTCAGGGCTATAGAATTTTGCTTCAGTTTATTCAGTAAAGTAAAGCTGCACTGAAATGCATGTAACGTTCTGAACTTGCTGTGATGCAGTTTATCACTCTCATTGCAGAGTTTTCACTCAGCTTTACCAGAACATCTTGGCTTTGGTGTTTGCTGTCAAGGAGATCAATGAAAATCCTCAGCTCTTACCCAATGTCACTCTGGGTATCCACACCTATAATAACGATTTTAGCCCAGGCTCGACCTATCACTCTGCAATGGAACTTCTCTCCACAAAGGGGAGGTTCATTCCTAACTACAAGTGTGACAACCAGAACAACTTGGTAGCAGTTTTGGGGGGACCAAAGTCTAATTTCTGTCTCTACATGGCAGATGTTCTGTGTACTTACAAGATTCCACAGGTAAAATGGTCTTGTGGGTTATGGCACATTAACAACTAAATCAGAGTTCCTTGACTATCAGGAGTGGTTTTTGATTAAAGCTTTCTCAAGGTCTGATGAATTCACTGATTTTTTTTGTGCCATGTTAATTATTGTTAGACCTTCCAAGATGAATCCTTTAAAGGCAGATATTGTTGCTTGTTAATGGAAATCGTGCTGTGCTTCTCACCCTGACGTGGGTGACTCAGGCTAGTCAGATCTCAGAAGGAAAGAAGGTTTGGCCCTGGTTTGTGCTTGGGTGGGAGACCCCCAAGGAAATCCAGGGTCACTACACAGAGGCAGGCAGTGCCAAATCACCTCTCTGTTTCTCTCTTGCTTTTAAAATGCTATGGGGTCACCCCAAGTTGGCTACAACTTGATGGCACTTTTCCACCACCACCACGAGCACTTCTAGATTTCTTTCCCCTTATTTCATATGTCTTTATATGCACAACTTTGTGAGAAACTGAATAGCTCAGTCTTCATGTTTGTCTTTATCTTATCTGAGGGGGGGAATCCACTGGAGGGAAAAAGAAATACAACACTGAGAGTTCCAGAGATACCAGAGCTAATGTTCTGGTTCTCAGATAACATTGTTCCTAATCTCAAGCAATGTAACAAACTGTTTTGAACTGAGCAGTGTTTCCAAAGATTGGTGTGGGTACGTGTCCACTCTTCAGAGTAAGAGACACCAGTTTTAAGTGGACTTGA